TTGGACTGAATGAACTAATACTTCCAGTACAATGTTATCTTGTTCCTGATTTTTGTGAAAATGCTTTTCAGATTTCCCCATTAAGTGAGAGGGAGGTTTAGGACTAAGTTGTATACATCTTCATCATGTTAAGGAACTAGCCATTGATTTTTTTTTTTTTAGTGTTTTTATTACTAATGAATGTTGAATTTGTCAAAGACCTTTTCAGCATCTATGGAGATGCTCAAATAATTTTTCTCTTTCAATTTTCCAATATGATGTTATATTCCAATATGATATATTCCAATATGATATATTATAGTCCAATTCAATTCTATTCTATTCTATTACAAAGATCTTCCAATATGATATATTACATTCCAATTATATTATATTATATTATATTATATTATATTATATTATATAGATTTTCCAGTATGATATATTATATTAACAGATTTACTAAGAATGAGCCAACCTTTCATTCCTTGAATACATTCCACTAGGTCATCATGTCTTATTTTCTTAATATAATATTGAATTCTCTTCAGTAATATTTTATTTAGGATTTTTGTATTATATTAATAAATAATACCAGTCCATAATTTTCTTTTTGTTTGTACTAGTGTTACCTTTTTAGGTATTGTATTAGTTTTCTATTGCTGCTGTAACAAATCACCACACTGTCTTAAACAACACAAATTTATTCTTTTATTTTTAGTGGTCAGAAGTCCAAAAATGGGTGTTACTGGGCTAAAATCATAGGGTGAGCACGTCTGTGTTCCTTCCGAGAGCTCTAAAAAAGGATCCCTTTCGGGGCACCTGGGTGGCTCAGTCGTTAAGCGTCTGCCTTCGGCTCAGGTCATGATCCCAGGGTCCTGGGATCGAGCCCCGCATCGGGCTCTCTGCTCCGCCGGGAGCCTGCTTCTCCCTCTCCCACTCCCCCTGCTTGTGTTCCCTCTCTAGCTGTCTCTCTCTCTCTTTGTCAAATAAATAAAATAAAAAATCTTAAAAAAAAAAAAAAAAGGATCCCTTTCCTTGTCTTTCCCAGCTTCTGGAGGCTCCCTACATTCCTTGCCCAGGGCCCTTTCCCCCATCTAGGATCTTCAGATCTCAATCTGTATGTGTCTGTGTGCGCATGTGCACGCACGTGTGTGTGTCTCAGACCTAGGCTTCTGGGCTCGCATCTTGTCACTCCCCTGCCTCCTTTTCCCAACTAAGGACTTTTGTGGTTACACTGGCCCCATCTGGATCCTTCAGAATAATCTCCACATATCAGCGTAATTTAAATCACATCTGCCAAGTCCCTTGTGCCATGGAAAGTAACATATCCACAGTTTCTAGGATTAGGATGTGGACATCTTTCTCCCTACCACAGCTAACAATGTTATAGTTGCTTCATAAAAAGAGTTTGAAAATTTTCTTTGATTTTCTATGCTTTAAAACAGTTTGTCCAGCATTCAGATTCTCTTCTCTTTGAAGGCTTGCTAAAATTCTGCTGTGAAACCAAGGGACCTGGTGCATCTTCGTAGTTTCTTAATAACCTTTCTTTCCCTTTGGAAATTGCTTTATCTAAACTTTCAATTGGGCCAATTTCTTTTTTCTTTTTTTTTTTTTTTAAGATTTTATTTATTTAACAGAGAGAGACATAGCAAGAGAGGGAACACAAGCAGGGGGGATGGGAGAGGGAGGAGCAGGCTTCCCCCTGGGCAGGGAGCCTGATGTGGGGCTCGATCCGAGGATCCTGGGATCATGACCTGAGCCAAAGGCAGATGCTTAACGACTGAGCCACCCAGGCGCCGCAAGTCAATTTCAATGAACTATTTTTCTGGGCAACTATTTGTTTCCTCTGGGTTTTCTAATTCATTTGCTTTGAGGTCTACAAAGTGGTCTCTCATGTTTTAAATTTTGTAGATTTCAATGATTATTTCTCCCTTGTCATTTTTTATTTCGTGTTATGTGAACTTTATCCCCTTTTTCTCAAGTAGCTGAACTAGTGATTGATTGTCTGTTTTGATATTTTCTTAAAGAACCAGGATTTTGATTTATTAGTTAGATATGGCATTCTTCTGTTCTCTACCTTATTAATTTTTGCTTTCACTTTTATTATTTCCTTCCTGGTGCTTTCTTTTGATTTACATTGTTCTTTCTGCAGCTCTTTTGAGTTTGGGGTTTAATTCATTTATTTTTTCAGGACGCCTGGGTGGCTCAGATGGTTAAGCGTCTGCCTTCGGCTCAGCTCATGATCCCAGGGTCCTGGGATCGAGCCCCACATCGGGCTCCTGGCTCAGCAGGGAGCGGGTTTCTCCCTCTCCCTCTGCCTCTCCCTTTGCTCATACTCTCTCTCTCTCTGTATCTCTGTGTCTCAAATGAATAAATAAAATCTTTAAAAAAATGCATTTATTTTTCATGATAAAAGTGTTTAAGGCTAAGAATGCTTAAAATGATGCATAAGTATCATGCCTTATGCGTCATAGGTTCTAATACATAGCGTTTTCATTATCATTTTCTTTAATTCTGCACTTCTAGGTTTGTATTTTCCTTTTCACCCAGATATGTTTGTCAGCTTCCAGGTGAAAGGGCTCTCTTGTTGTTTTAATGTTATTAATTTCTTGTTTCATTGTATTGTGTCAGAGTGTTTGTAATATTTCTATTTTATGCAACTTACTGATTTTTTGTGTGTTTGTAACCTAACACATAATCAAATAATGTGAATTTCTATGTGTGTTTGAGAAGGTGTGACTTCTACCCTAGGAGTACACTATTGGACACATTTAAATGAGAACTACCTGACTGATTATATATTTAGGTCTTCTAGATTCATATTTATTTTTAGTCCACTTGGCCTGTCTTAGATTATCACTTATTATTATGTTTCCATGTATTTCACTTGGCATCTTTTACAGATAGTTTCTTCTTTATAAAGATGGTTGCCTCCCCCTCCCCCTTTGGAACTTTGTAGGATTTGTATTTTTGTCCTATTGGTTGCTTTTGAACTTAAACGTTTTAATGCCCTTAGTCCCTGTTTCTTATTTAATCTTGTATTATCTCATTGATCAGTTTTTAATGATGTTCTTTGACTCCCAACTATTATTTCAAATCAACTCTCAATGAGCTTCTTCTCTCTCAGCTTTTCTCTCTTCCCTCGCATTTCTAGTTACATTATTTTTACTTTGTCATATAAAATGTATATATTATCTTTCGACCCTTCTCCTACCTTTATCAAGTACTCCTAAATCTGATAAGTACATTAAATGTTCAGCATCAATGTTTTTGCTGAAATTTCTCCAGTGATTTCTTGGTTGGATGAAGACTGTTCAAGAAAAGCTGATGTGGACAGTATTCCCTGCATTCTTACAGTTTAATTTTTAGACCTGTTTTTTCTGTAGCCTGGATACTTGAAAAAGAGCTTGGATGGTTTTAAGATCCTTGGTTTGTACTTTAATTTCTGATTTAAGATGGTTTTCACACCCTGGGGTGCTTGATTGAAAACATTTCATTTACTTGGCAATGTTGTATTGTGGTTTTCTTCACTTTATGGTTTATTTTGGCAGGGCATTTGGCATTTTCATAAGATGATAGATTTTGTTATTCTTATTTTCTATTTTCTTTTATTACAATTTTGTCTAGATTTAGGTTTCTTTTCTTAATTTCATGGATTTCAAGTATTTATAAGATTTCTAGTTTAAGAGGATCCTTTCTAGTGGGTGTAACCAAGTCTACTATCTTTTTACTATTTTATTTTATTATTATTTGGGGATGGGAGTAGGGGAGGTTGTATGTCTTCGTTTTTTCTTTCTCTTTTTTCCTTACAGGATCTGACATTTCCCCCCTTTGGCTGCCCTTTTCCTTTACCTCCCAGTTTCCAAAGGATGTTGCTTCTTGCTTTGTGTCCTTTGCTCCCTCCCTTTCTGACTGCCACTTCTGATTCATGCCCACTTCTGAGTCTCTTCCTCACCTGCACCGCGGTTTACCAGGATTCGTACAGTCTTTTCTACATCAGGTTGACATGCTTTCCAGCGATGGCTTCCACTCAGTTCTTGGCTGCAACCTCATTTCCTGCTTCTCTCGTCTATACTGTTTTCCCAGGGCTTGTGCCCAGAGTGCGACATACAGCTCTGTTGAGATTGGATATTAACTTTTTTTTTTTTTAACTTACAGGTTGTTTGAAGATTACATAATTTTCTATCTTCTAGTTTACTGAGAGTGTGGTTTTGTGTAGTTTTACTTATTCTTCCTGCTGGTCTGTATTGCTTTGTGCATAGTTGATCACATTAATCCAGGCTGCCTCTTTCTAAATGGTACTTGGACATAATAAGAGAAAAGATGCTATTTTCCACAAGACTGTAGTCACCTTGGTGATGTAGAAAGATCTGAGAGAGAGAGAAAGCTGGTGTGTTCTTTGTACACTGTGGAAACCAGTCAAAGGTTGACTTATCTGGAGCAGAAAACTTTTAGGGCAAAAACAAAATCAAAGAAACAGATTCAAGCATTGGATTTGAAGTGTTTAATTGCACTGACATTTGTTTTTATACGGAGTGCCAGGGAGCATAAAAATGTCTAAGCATTGCCTCTTACATTAAAACACTTTCAAATTCATCATTCGCCCAGAGACCATGTAGATGGTAAAGGTTCCATCACACAACTATGCTCGCATCTGACAGATGAGGGACCAAGACTCAGAGAGCCTCACTCACATGATGTCCTGGTTGCAAAGTTGCCTTGAGTAGAGCCAGGAGTAAAACATCAGCCCCCTGACGGATGATGCCATGCATTTCCATCACCAACTGTGCCTCATCATAGAGGTTTGCACTCATTTGTGCCTCATTCCAATTTTTTGTTACTGTTCAATCGCTTCTGTAACCTAAGTCCCCTCCCTGACAACAAATGACTAGGGGAAAATACTTTTTAGCATTGTATTTCAAATGGATTTGCCCTGCTAAAAACGATGTAAGTTGCTTGTCCGATAAGTAAGAAATACTTTCTCCCCTAATGATCCACCTCCCTCTCTCTTTTCGCAGAGGACAGTTATGGGATGGATGGGAAGGTTAATCCGCCCGGCCTCGCTGCAGATGTCAACTGGCAAGGTCTGGAGGATTTATACAGAGTGAACAAAAGTGTCTATGAGTACAGACAAAACTATACACTTAGTCTGGCTGACTGGACTAATTACTTGAAGGATGTAGATAGAGTATTTGCACTGCTGAACAGCCACCAGGAGCAAGACAAAACAACTAAGACTGCAACTGCTCAAAGTGATGGGTCCCTGGCTGGATCTGCGGAGCTCTCGGCGCCGGTAGAGAGAGCTTCCGCGGAGTCCGATGAGGACCCGAGTCCTACGCTTGGGGAAGCGCCTTATTGGACCTGGCCGGCTGACCTTCGAACCCTGCCTTTGAACCAACCAACATTCAGTCCAGAGACGAAACTTGAATGGAACAACGACATTCCCGAAGTGAGTCGTTTGAATTCTGAACACTGGAGAAATCATAAAACTGACACGTGGACGGAGCACGAAGAGAGAAATCATCTTGCAAGCGATCTTAGCGGCAACGGCCTCACGGAGCTGATGGTGCCTCCCAGGCCCCGGGGGCAGCATGAATTTCCCCGGGGGGCCGGTCCAGGCGAGGATGTTTTTGATCTTCTTCCCCGGGGGGCCGGTCCAGGCGAGGATGTTTTTGATCTTCTTCCCCGGGGGGCCGGGCCAGGCGAGGATGTTTTTGATCTTCTTCCCCGGGGGGGCGGTCCAGGCGAGGATGTTTTTGATCTTCTTCCCCGGGGGGCCGGGCCAGGCGAGGATGTTTTTGATCTTCTTCCCCGGGGGGCCGGGCCAGGCGAGGATGTTTTTGATCTTCTTCCCCGGGGGGGCGGTCCAGGCGAGGATGTTTTTGATCTTCTTCCCCGGGGGGCCGGGCCAGGCGAGGATGTTTTTGATCTTCTTCCCCGGGGGGGCGGTCCAGGCGAGGATGTTTTTGATCTTCTTCCCCGGGGGGGCGGTCCAGGCGAGGATGTTTTTGATCTTCTTCCCCGGGGGGCCGGTCCAGGCGAGGATGTTTTTGATCTTCTTCCCCGGGGGGCCGGGCCAGGCGAGGATGTTTTTGATCTTCTTCCCCGGGGGGGCGGGCCAGGCGAGGATGTTTTTGATCTTCTTCCCCGGGGGGGCGGTCCAGGCGAGGATGTTTTTGATCTTCTTCCCCGGGGGGCCGGGCCAGGCGAGGATGTTTTTGATCTTCTTCCCCGGGGGGGCGGTCCAGGCGAGGATGTTTTTGATCTTCTTCCCCGGGGGGGCGGTCCAGGCGAGGATGTTTTTGATCTTCTTCCCCGGGGGGGCGGTCCAGGTGAGGATGTTTTTGAAGATCAGCTGCATCTTCCTGCGCATGCTGATGTGGATTCCATTCATCAGACGATCAATACGTCTGCCAGGGAGCAGCCAACCAACTCCAGCAGCGAGAAGAGGATGTTGAACAAGGCGAAGAATCACAAGACGGGGAGCTTACAGAGTCTCGAAGGCAGTGCCTCCTTTCCACTCTCCTCCGATTAGCTGAAATTGTGACCTTACCCCAAACACAGTACTTTTTTTTTTTAACTTTTTATTAGTAAACTAATAAAGGCGATCACGACAGCGAACATTCTAAGCTACCCTAGGCACACAGACGCAGAAGTTAGGGCGCAGATCAGCAGGAGGCACACAGGGACTCGGTGTTGTAATTCACGATTGGTCCAGAATAGAAAGAAAGGTTGACTCGTGTTTGTTTGTTTGTTTGTTTGTTTGTGGGGAGACTAAAACAGTATTATCTTTTGAAAGTGATAGGGATATGCCTATCCAAATATTATCCAATCAAGACGGCTAGAATTGTAACTTTCTGGGTTTCTAAAACTTGACCTCCTCCATGAATTTTTCAGCACACTTTCCACTGCCCGCCTAATGTGGTTTTGATTCCTTTTTTAACCACTGGAACTTTTCAGTGCCATCACCTTCAATGATTTTGCACTTTGAGATCAGAACACCATGTCTGTTCGGTTAGTCTTTTTTTTTTTTTTTCTTCCCATAGGCTTTCCATAGTCTCACTCCTTGCTCTCAGTGTGACCACGGGAAGTAGACCCCAAGAATGACACACAGTATGGATGACATATTGTTCAGCATACGCTTTTGCCAGAAGACATTGCATGCGTTTTCCTCGACTTGCTAAACTTGATTAGCAGAAAGGCATGGCTAACGATGTTGGCAGTAAAAATAAATAAATCAACAAAACCAAGATTGTCTGCTTTCTCTGTGCCTAGCCTCAAAGTGTTCATCATATGCTTCAGATTGCAAAATTTTTATTATTTTATTAACAGGATAAAAGGACTGAAGACGTTTTTTTTGCTCATCTTCGTTTTCTTGACCTGCCTAGTAAGGTCAAGTTTTGAGAAGATATGCTTAGTTTTGAATTTATATAAGAAATCTTTTTCAATAAAACAAACTCACAAATGTTTCATATTTTAAACACACCATATGTGTTATATGATCATTTTTAAGGCCTTCACCAAGTTCTGATTTTTTTAAAGACATAATTCAAGACTGCTTTTGAAATTCTGTATTCTTAAAAATATTCTTGTTATGTATTAGATTTTTAAATACCAGCAAAAGGATTACCTCATTGAGAATTATCAGTACCCTAGCCAACTTCCCAAGAAGGTTTTTTTTTTAGCTTAACAGTGATTTTCTTTTTATTTTTAGATCACTCAAATGCATAGGTAAATTATGTTTTCTTTAAGTGTTTAAGGTAAACTCTTTCAAAGAAAATTTAATATGTTGTAGTTGAATCTTTGATAACTTTAAGTCTTTATCATAGACTCTGTACATATGTTAAAATTAACTAGCTCTTTATCAGATGTGTGTGTCACCAGCTGAATGACAGAAGAAACATATTTATGGTCATGAATGATGTGCTTTGTAAAAAGGTTTCAAGTTATTAGGAAGCATACTGTGTTTTTTAATCTTGTGTAATATTCTGTGATACTTTTATAGAACAATTCTGGCTTCGGGAAAGTCTAGAAGCAATATTTCTTGAAATAAAAGGTGTTTAAATTTTACCTGTTTCAGAGACATGAGCTTATTACCAAGTTTTTTGTGCCACACCCATTCTTTGCAGGTAAAATCGAGTCCTTATGTCAGTGGACGTGGCTGAATATTCACCACATTTGTAAAACTGCCCCAAAGTCCGTGTGTTCTAGAACATGCTCAGACTGATGATTTCAGCGTGGATTTGCCTCCTTGCTTCAGGGAGGCCGTGGCAGAGACAGCACAAGACTGGCTCCCCGCCTTGGCCCCCCAGCAGTTACGTAGGGCCAGCGTTTGGCTGAATCCTTTCCTGTCACCAATGACATCTTTAAAGATTTTTGAACAAGGAATCCTACCTTCCCTCACTTCACCAGACCAACAAATTATATAGCCGGCTCTGGGCAGCGCAGACGGAGTTTTCCAAAATCAAGAGGACCAATCCACTGAAGGAAGCCCCAATTCACTGGGGACGGGGACATGGACTTTGATCAAGACCCAACCACCCTCCAATACCTCAAGTTTTTCCCGGCTGACAAATGCCATATACTTCTTTCCTGCTCCAGATTTCCTGAGAAGCTTTCTCTTCTGCAAGTCGAGGGGCTGACAATCTGTGAAGGTTAACAGTAAAGGGGAAGAAACAAAAGCAAAGGGCTTTTTGAGTTGTGCTAACCCAGTCCTGAGATAATTGAGGGAACCATCTGTATTAGTTTGCGAGGGCCGCCAAAACAAAATACCACAGACTGGGGGCCTTAAACAACAGACAGTTATTTTCTCACTGTTCTGGAGGCTGAAAGTCCAAGACCAAGAGGCTTTGGTTTCTTCTAAGGCCTCTCTTCTTGGCTTTCAGATGGCCACCTTCTCTGTTGTCTGTGCATGTGCAGCCCTGGGATCTCTTCTTACAAAGACACCAGTCATTTCAGATTAGGGCCCACCCTTATGACCTCATTTAACCTTAATTACCTCTGTAAAGGCCTTCTCTCCAAATACAGTCACACTGCGGGCTTAGGGCTTCAATATCTGAATTTTGAGGGGACACAATTCAGGCCATAACACCACAGATTCATCAAGAGAAGAGTTTTAGATGATGGTGTTGACCAAAGGTACATCATTTTGCCTCCCTTCTTGCTCCTTTCTTACAAAATGTGACTAAGCCAAGTATTGCTATCCTGAAGAAAATTCCATTTTAGTTCAATTCAGTAACTTTTCGGTATTTATGGAGTACTTACTATGTGCAAAGGGCATGAAAGAGACTCGGATTTTGAAGAGTACTTAGAAATTGGCTAGCCGACTGACCTTGTTTGATCTCTGAGGAGCTGATGCCCAGAGGGCTGAGCTGATTTCCCAACTGCCAATTTCCCACAGATTTCGAAGAGGAAGAGGTTTGTCAGAGGCAGGGCCAGCCCCTCTCCACTTTCTCCATTTACACACACACACACACACACACACACCACCAGATCAGGGAAGGGAGAAACCATAGTGAAACCCCATGGGGAAAGAGTAGTGGAAAGAACAATGGACATGAATTCTAAATTTTACTACCTATGAGCTGGGGAAAGTCACATAACCTCTCCTTGAATGTGAAATAAGAGGTATGACTCGAGGATGACAAATACATCACATCTGTGCTTTCTTTTCCTAAAACGTGCCCAGGGGAGACATTGCTAATGCACAAGGACACTGCTGCATGAAGCCGGAGCACTTCACCCTTAAACTCCTTCTCAATGCAGCCAGCTACACTGTTGAGTTGGTATTGGAGTGTAAGACGCAAACCTACTTACCATACCCAAACGACATAATATCTGAGGCTCCTCCGAGCCTTCTTTAAAAAAAATAAAATAACCCTATCTGCAGGGTTTTTGGTTAAGAGAGAAGGAATGAAGACTTAACACTCCCACCCCATGCCAAATGTACCTAAACATGTTGCTCTTCTAAGAAAAGATTTTTAAATGCCTATTGTCCAGAACTTGCTTTAGAGCTACTGTGATCTCAGCTATAAGAAGGTCCTCAATTCCCCCAATTAATCCAATTCTGCTTGATATTTTCAAATTTTATTTGCTTGCTGTTTCCAAAATGTATTTGGAAAATATTTTCAATATTTTCAAAATTTATTTTAATAGAAAACAAAAGATCTTAGAGCAATTAACAACTTGGTGTGGTCCACCACCGGGTTCATTTAAGCCCTCACAACCTCTCCTCGAAGCTACTGGGAAAGTTGTAATCACACCCTAAGCCCCTTCCCCTCCAGCCCCACTCCATCTCATCCCGCATTTGCTGTCTTTCATCACCAGGCTCAGACCTCAGCCTCCTGCTCAGAAATCTTTGGTGATTTTTAACACCCCCCACACACACACAAACACACACACTAGAAGCTCTAGCCTTCCATCCACCCATGTGCTCCCCTTTCCCCTCGCCTGTCACTACCAGCTTCCCCTGGATTAGTGCCACCTTCCTAAATCTGAATTCCCCATCCCAACCTGTAAAAATCTCATCCATTCTCCAATTCCCGTATTTTTTTTCCCTTTTACCTTATCAAACTTTATCTTTTCTTTCCATGTAAACTTCCCTCAACTCCCCCACCCCTTGGACAGAGTAGCTCGGCCATTTTTCCTTTACTTTCCCCCGAGTAAGAGAACACTGATGTTGTGCCAAGTCTGAGGCCAATGGAGTGAAAGTGACCGGCCACATTCATGACCTTGCCTCTTGTCCCATTTCTGACCAAGAGACCTACCTAATGCAACTATTGTCCATACTGGTCTAATTAACTCAGCTTCCTCTGAGCTGTGTTGTTGATGCTGAGGACTTCAGCAACACAGTACCTAGGGCCTTAGAGTGAGCCCACTATTGTATAAAATAAGCAGAGAAAATGGCTTCCAAAAAGCAGATATTTCCTGTTGAGACTAGGGAGTACCCTGCTCCCTGATGTCAGGGAAAGCACTGCAGAGGGTTGGGGGACAAAGGGAGCTACAAATGTTGAGGTCTTTTGTGCTGAGCGTTGCCTCACTTTTCTGCTAGCAAACGCACTTAAGTGGTGGACAAAGGTAGATACCTTTCTGAATTTCTAGCCCCTACACCAGTGTGCCTCCCAGGACTCAGGAATTCAGAGTCTGTGTCTTCTACCCCCAGTCCTCCTCCCCGATATCCTACCTCCAGCGCCAACGACACAGATGACCCAGAGCCAGAATGGAACCAGTCCAATTACTAATGGGTTTCAGCAGAAGAGGAGATGTCATTGCCACCCTAATACGAATCTGGTCCCAAAAAGCCCCATTACAACTCAAGCCCAGGAACCGGAAGGGATGAGAGGTCAGTAAAGCATGTAATTTCCACAATTACCATTAGGTGTCACTCTAGCGCAACTCAGGACATCTTTCTTTCCAGCCAGGCTCCACCCCTCGCAAAGCTGCCACTTCATTGATCTCTGAAGTAGCAGCACTGGGTTTAGACAAGAACACAGCTAAACAGTTGATCCATGGCAGGCTTGCTCTTTCTTTGATGCTCAGGATCTTAGCCATTCCAGTAGACCAAAAAAGGGTTTTAGCTTTCTACTGATGTATATTGGAATTATGAGTTGGAACTGCATCAGACTTTGACGTTTAAATACAAAAGTGAGTACCAAATATCGATCTCCTTGCTTTCCAATGACTTTTTGCAATTAAAAATGCTTTTTTGCGCTCAGGCCACGCCAAAGCTACAGAGGCCATCTTCACTGAGCTGGCAATTTTTAAAAGAAGAAAAGAACTAGATGCTTTTTAACAGCTCTTAAAATGCTGAGGTTGTACCAAGTCTGGGGCTAATACAAGGAAGATAAGTGGCCACATTCATAACCTTTCCTCTCTCCTCATTTCTTAAAAAGAAACTTTCTAGTGTGTCTTTTTCAAAAAGCCCAATATACGGAATGATTCTGCCTCTCCTTTGAATGTGTGGGATATTTAAGAGAGTTGAGTGAAATTTCTAAATTGCCTAAATTGCACCCATTGATGAAGAGAAGAAGGTAGACTGGGGAAGAGGGTAGTATCTGCCCTTTGTATAAATGGCTTCCACAATGAATGAACAAGGCCCTGGAGGAAAATAAGGGTTTATCCAGAAACCAGCAAAGACACACACGGCCCCCAGTAACTCCTGTATCTTGGGCCATTGTGACCCTTTAGTTGAGCTGTGCAGGAGGAGTGACTGAGTGAGCAATGGAAATCAATTGCCCTGCTTTACACCTATGAGTGCTCCAGGCAAGGTTCTAAAAATAACCACTTTGTGCTCCAGTCCATGAGTCATGCTGTTATTTCCAGAGCTCTTTGCCTCCCTCCTCCTCTCACCCAAAAGTTTTGGATGCCTTAGCAAACTCTGCTGTCCATCAGAAGAGATCTCAGAGACAAACTAATTTCAAGCCAACACACTTTATTCTTTTTTTTTTACTTTTTTTCTTAATTTTCAATGATCAAGTATTCAAGATGTTGTAAACCAAGGTTTATTAGTACATTGACAAGAGATTTCATTAAACACAAGGAAATTGAACATCTTTTAAATTACCCTAAGAAGTCTCCAAATAAATAGTCATTGTAAAAATCACAAAATCAAACTCCTTTATGTAACAATTCAAAACGGCCTTTCATCACCAACACAATTTCACACAACACACACACACCGAACACACACTCCACCAGGATCCTAATGCCAATTTATTTGACGCAGTATTACATCTCCTTTAACTGAAAAGTTAGAGGCGGGCTTGCCTATTTCATGCTTCTAAATTAACATTTGGGGTTTTGGGTAGAGGTATGTATTTTAAGAAAAATGCCCACTATAGAGTCTTATTATTCTGATTTTTCATTTCTAGATACAAAGTTTAAACTCTGTTTGTTCAACCCTTTGGTTTAATATGTCCCTGCAATGACTTCAGTTTTGGATATTTTCTCCTCTGATTTTAGCATGTAATAGAATACCAGAAAAAGACAACACCTTCCAAACCCCAATTACAAAAACACTTCACAAGGGTGTCAGTTTTTTGGAGAAGAAATAAGAAAAGATTATGTGAACTCATTTTCCCCTCTCTCCGAAATTATTTGTAGCATCTGATTATTCTTGCTAAAAGAAATATCAAAAGCACTGAGTTTTCCATAGAAAAGGTACTCTTCCTTACAGTCTTCATGTTTGCAGCGTAAAGTTCATGGATTAACTGTAGTAATTAGAATAACGAGTGCTTGTTTTCTGGGAAGCTCTCTAGATTTCCAAAAGCAAAGCACATGTAGTCCCTTGCCAGTGAAACACTGTAAATTCAGTGGTGCAGTTTTGTGGCGAGCATGCATCATCAAATACTTTTAGCACCGAGGCATTTTTTTTTTAATGTTACAAAAGCAAATACCCAAGGAGGGTTTTCATCATATTTGACCCTTCTTAGGGCTGAGTAAAAATGAAGTGCTTAAAAGAACCTGTTCAAACATAACACAGATCTGATTCCAATGTAGCAAGAAGCCTGGGACAGACACAGCCAGCAGCATCCTGGAAGATGAGGAGAGGAGAGAAAATGGAAAAGATAAAGTGCACAAGACTACTACCTTCACCTGCCCGCCACGGCACGCCCTTCTATGCCAGGAAAGAGGAATTACAGGTAACGTGGAGAGGCTACCTATGGTCTGGAGAACAGAACTAGCAAACCTGCAGTCTAGGCAATTCTGGGATTATACAGTATTTTGGTATCTATCTGCTACTTAGAAGACTCCAGATGCACCTCTATAGCAATAGTTAGACTTGTGTTTCGGCACCATCGAGGATGTTTGAAGTCCACACAGGCTAAAAGTATAATTGGCTGCCCACCCCCACCCCCCCGAGACTTGGGCTCTCCTACTGCTCCTGGGCACACCAGAGAATTTCCACAAATGCTTCAGGTCCATTCAAAAACCATGCAGCTGCTCTTTGGTTGATGCAAAACAGGCTCCAAAAAGAAACTTTCTGGTTCCACGTCCACCAAAGAATGCAAGCTGGAATTACAGATGGAGGAAGAATTTTCTTGGTAGTTTGGTGACAATGCAGGACGGTCATTATGACTTGCTCCTTGTCTGACGGCTGCATTCCCAAGTGCATGCTCCCGTTTGTGACCACAGCACAGCTACTGACAGCAACAATCCCACCAGTTGTTTGGTACATAACATGTAACGTTTTGTCTACGTTCATTTAACATGGAACACTTTGTGTATGTTCATTTGAAACTTTTATTTAGGAAACTTAAAACCCATATTCACTAAAAATTAATGGAAATGTTAACATTCTGAAAGAGGAAAACACAAAAAAGAAAGCATACACTTAAAATCCCCAGAGCTCAGATTCAATAAATCTGAACCACATTTCCTCATGATTCATTTCAGAAATTCTACTGAGACTCAATGCTAACATCAAAATTGGATTTGTTCTATATTAAATATGAACTATAAATAAATACTTGAGGTATGTTATGACAACTTTGAATATAACGCTTAGCTAAATAAATGTAAATTTACCTTGAAAATCTAAACATTAAATTTTGATGTTTCCTACAGATTTTTTTTCTATTCTACACAAAGGAATAATAACTTCTCTACTCTTCAGGAACAGTAACACAGCAAAAAATGAAATGCTTTACCTCGCTAAATTATAGTCACACTTGTCTTTGTTAACCAAAACCATTGTAGGCATTATATAGTGTAAGAAGCGAGCGATGGAGACAGAAACCCTCTTCTGAACCCTAACTTGGCCACTCTGTACAATCCTAAACAAATCTCTTTACCTCTCTGAGCCTCAGTTTTCATGATCTGTTTAAAAAAAAAAAACAAAAACAGAATAAAAATAGTTATCTTGCAAAGTTATTAACAGTATTGAAATAAATGATGTATATTAAGTGCTTGACAAAATTCTCTGAAATAGTCACACTCCACAAAAGATAATTTGTTTCTTCTCTGCTCCTCCTTCCCCCCCAACTTAGTTCTGAATGACTTTTGAATGTTCTCAAGAATTAAATCTACCTACAAAGGATAAGGACTTCATACTAATGAAGATAACAAAAAATGTTGCTCCAACCACCTACCTTCCCCCAGGGTGTTTCTAAATTAATAGGCTAGACTCATAGATATTATATTTGCATATTAAAGCCAAATAATACGTTATAATCTACAGAGTTGATAAAAGAATAAGGTGACCTTTTTTTCCAAAACAAGTAATTAGAGGCCTAAGTTCATGGAGAGTGGGAATTAAACTTACAATAGTTATACATTATTAATACATTAATCTACAGAGTTGATAAAAGAACAAGGTGACCTTTTTTCCAAAACAAGTAACTAGAAGCCTAAGTTCATGGAAGTGGGAATTAAACTTATAATAGGAGCTGTGACCATGAAGTAACAAACATATAAGAACCTCATATCTATAATTAAATGGTGCCATTTATAAAACAGTCACTTTAGTTGACTATGTAATATTCCAAGGATACTGCCAGGACCCAAAGCATTTTGGGGACAATTCTTAATTGGTACGTATTCTAAAACTTCAGTCTTCTGTGATTTTTCACTACTTATTCTACATGAACCAACAACACATTAATGATACACCCACTATTTATAAGTATCGCATACTTGAGGAAGTACAATATTAACAATTGTGGTGTACAATTCAGGCCAATTTCTTTGAATTTTGGCAGGTCAACCTAAAGAATTTCATAGAGCAGCAGATGGTAATTGGCTAAAATAGTGCCTGATAGAGAACTGGTCGATGGTTGCTGAACTGGATGGATGACTGTTCAGGGTAGAGAAAGGGGACTGTCTAATTATATGTGAAGAGTCTGTCACTTCCTACCCTGGAGTTCTGAAAGCAGCTCCTTTTCAAAATATACTACCAAGAAGAGAGAGATTCTAAGAGTGTTGGAACATACATTCTTAGCTTAAAAAAAAAAAAAAAAGGTGTTAATCCCACCCAAATTCTCTCAATGCAGTTCTTTGGCAATTAGAGGGGAATTAAGAAAATACCACCTCTCCCCATCCTGTATATCTTTAGCTCCAACACAAAAGGAAACTTTCTAAAGGATCTAAAGGATCAAAGATCTCCCATAGAGAGTAAAAGGGAACCCTGAGGCAGCAGAGTAGACACTAAGTTAATCAACAATATTCTCTGAAGACCTTCAATATATACCACATGGAGGGAAGTTGGACAGACACCAGAGTAATTAGAGGCAACAGCAGACTTATGACTCAGCCAAATGAGACCACTCCAACGGAAGTCCTTGTTACCTGTCCACTGGCTCAACCCCTTACAGACATTATTCAGTCTAATAGCGATAACCCTCTCCACAAACTGCATGCCACCAAAAGAACCATTTGACAATACCGTTCTTAGGTGGAGAGGAAAACAACCTTGAACTGTTCACATAACTCCACCAGTGTCTCCAAGGACGAAGGGCAAAAAGCCTGAATCATGGGACAGTTCCGTCAGTCATGACCCCTCTGTGGAAGAGAGTAAGCCAGCTAAGGAAATCAGTTCCCAAATTAGCCGCTACGTAAGCATAGGCTCCTTGGCAGAAACTGTTCACAATTACATTGGTATTTGGACCTTACAGTCCCTCCGAAGTCTGGGTTGTCAAGGATTCTTTTTCTGAGCAGCCAAGATGCCAGGAGGTAACCTGCTATCAGTCCAGAGTGCAGTCAGGAAGCATCTACCTTCAGAATCATGGAGAAAGCATTCTGTGTGGCACCTAAGTCAAAGGGATGTGCTGGGAGGAACTGAAAAGGATGATGGATAATGAACCCAAAGAGCATTTAGGAACAGAAAAATCCTCTCGCAGAATTGCTTCGGGAAGGTTAACAGGAGGAAGGAATCAAAGAGAGAAGCAAAATTGTTCTAACTCTGATAAAGTGGAATTCAGTATGACAGGCAAGTTGATTTTAAATAATTTTCAGTCATGACTTAGGATCATATTCCGATAGCTCACAGATCTCTCTCCTCCTGTATTCAGAGTGATTTTCACATCACAGGTATAGGTTTCCTGATTTAATTACTCAACTTCAGGGGGCAACCATGGCAATTTTCTGTACATAAGAAAGAAATCGATACAGATTTGCTGTTTCCAGGCGTATAACTAAAGCGATCAGATGGGACTCAATCTTACCTCTGTGGAATTTCTTTTTCCAACTGTTTTGAGTGTCAAGGTTACAATTCTTAGCTACCCTTGTGTGGGCCCATGAGAGCTAAAAGAATTTCTGCAGCATTTTTCTTTGGATGAGAAAGCCATCAGTTTCTCTCTTTATGATGCATCTCAAATTAGGTTCTAGCCATATTGTTTAGCACACTAGTTTTAAAGCCCCTGGCAAAAGAATACTGGAGTTTATGTTCAAGCTATCAGATTTTATGATTCAGCAGACTCTTTACCTTATAATGGGGCAGACAGACTAAAAGAGAATGTGTCTTATGAAATAAAGTCGCTGTTCCTTTTGTCACACTATGCATATGATTCCTTTGAAGCATTTGAAAAATTCTACCTGATTTATAACTCTGCTATGGCTTAAAACGCTATTAACAGTACTTTAGGGAAAGTTTATTGTCCTCTTTTCAAAACGTATCTGCTTTAGTCTCTTGAAAGAAAAAGTAACATGCTGCACTTACATTTTCCCAATCAAAATTGCATAGTTGAGGCAAATTCATTTGTGCTTTGTAGCGGAACTCACAGTATGTGTTCATATCTAAAAACTCTGATTTGTAAATGCAAAGTCATGGTCAAGCTCACCTTTGTTTGGAGTGTATGGTAATGATATGTACCTCTAGGACACTTCCCGTAATTTTCTTAACCAGGCACCTCTCAGCCTTATACCACAATGGAGCACGAGCATGAAATTAACATAGCGGAAATGGTAACAAATCTACCTAAACTCCTCCTTCTTGGAGAGAAGGGGGGCAAAGGCTCTCAGTCTTGTTGAGGTATCCAGCCCTCAGTCAATAGTGGCTGTGTATACTGAGTTTTGTCGGTTTGAGGATTGTGTCTTTAGAGGTTAAAAAAAGAGAGAAAGAAAAGAAGGCACGGGTGTTTCTCAAGTTGCCATATTCAACTCAACCAACAAAACTAAAGTCTTCCATTTTCAAGCTTCAGGAGGGATGCTACATGGCAGTAGGGCTTTCTTCCAGCCCTGGGTCTGGGGAGGAGCTTATTGCTTCGGGGAAGGGCCCCGGATAGGTCTGTGCTGCGTACTGGATCCCTTTCTGCAGACCAGTCTCTTCGTGGAAATCCCCCTGGCTGCTGAAAGCTGGACAAGATCTAGTCCGGGCACCCTTACTGGTGTTTTCGGTGTGGCCCACCATCTCGCTCACTGTGCTCAGAGGAAATTCTCTCCACCTCTGCCTCTGCAGCTCGTCCTCCTTGTATTTAATGGAGTACCAGGCCAGAAAAATAAAAATGAAGGCAACAAATTTGAGGCCAGCCGCCAAACCAAAGTAGACAAAACGAAATGATGTCACGTTGTACTCCCAGCAAGAGCCTTGCACTCCACATTCCTGTTGCCAGAGCATGCAGGTGGTGTCAATAACTGCTCCAAAGTAAATTGGAGTAGGAATGTATGCTGGCGTTGTAGAGAAAAAGAAAAAGAACAATGGTTAGCCCGTCTTATCAGAGAAAACAGATTTTGTAAATCAGAACCCTCTAGAACCAGTGGAGGGCAGTGGTTTTCTTGTGTTACTTGGCTATTTTAAATCTGTCACATCTTATCATAATATATTTATTATAAAAACGTTCACTAAGTTATAAATACTTTAAACCTTTCAGTTTGCAACTCGGTCAGAATACGCTATTGATTTTAAGATTGTAAAAATGTCGATTGCTTAAAAATTCAATGAGGCAATCCTTTTAAACTTAAAAATCAAATTTTGCCATTAAATACTCAAGAGGCTATACGACCCTTTATGAACCACTAAAATTCAGTATACTTAGTTCTTATGGGTTGGGTTCTAGTCCTCGGGTACAGGAAGAGTATGAGGAAAACACTGTCCCCTCTAAGCCAGAAACCACATCAAATGGCAAACTGTATAAAGACATTTGGGGCATAGAAATAACTAAGGCAGAAAATTCATCTTTGAAGCTTGTGAAACATCTGCGATGAGTAGTAGCTTCATTGTCTGGGCTATGAGATAGATATTTCTTTACTCCCGTAAGAAAGAAAGTCTACCCAAGTAGACTTCCTTCACCATATGTTACTCCCTTTGCTGAAATGTGTCCCCATCCCCCAAATTGTTCACCTTGCAATTATCTACCCCTCCTTTAAATTCCTCACTCACTCAGATGCCACTTTATTCCCACTGCATTTTGTATACACCTTCATTGTATCAACTATCACGTAGCATTGAAAGTGTTTGCAGATTTGTCACCCATAAGCTCCTTGATGGCAGAGGCCATGCCTTTTATTCCTTGCGTCCCAAGGACCCCTCAGGACAGCCGTGGAGCCTCAATAAGAGTTTATAAAAGGAAGTGATGGGAAGGAACAAGGGAGAAAAGGAGGAAGAAAAGAAGAGAGGAAGGAAGGGAAGACAGTGGGCTAAGTGATGTATTTTTAAATATATTATATTTGTTTCAAATAAGGTATGTTCACTACAATTAAAATTTAACATTACTAAAACACTTAAAACTCTCTTTTTGCTTTGGAATTTGGGGAAATGGAAATTGGTTTGTTGGCCCAACTCTAGTTTTTCATAATCAACAGAACTTAAGTCAAGGTTGAATTAAATAATAGATGACTGAAATGTACTCCTTCCACTTACTCCTGACGCTGTGATATCCCTCTATTGACTTACCTTCACCTCCAATTCCATATGAAACCACCCCAACTCCATGGCATCAAAGACAAGCAGAGCAAAAAGGAGGACCTATTTTTTTCTTTTCCTATTCAACCACCCCTTCGCTAACAAATTTCCTTCCTTGAAAACAACTTTTTAGTTTTCAACAGGAAGTATAAGGCAAGCTTCTTAACAAAATCAAAGCATGTCAGAATTTCCTTTCACCACCTGCCTTTGAAAACTGGGACCTTCGAAGTTTTATCAGTACCAAAAAAAAAACAACCAAGCCACCCATTCAATGCAACTAGAAGCCTCTGAGGATGACCAGACAGTTCCTACTCCCAGACTGGGCCACCAACTGCAACGTAATGACAAATTGAGAATTCCAGGAGTCCATAATCTCTCATGGGTCATCTGGGAATCAAACTGAGAGTTTTAGAGGGGAGGGGGGTGGGGGATGGGTGAGCCCAGTGATGGGTATTAAGGAGGGCACATACTGCATGGAGCACTGGGTGTTATACGCAAACAATGAATCATAGAACACTACATCAAAACTAATAATATACTGTATGGTGACTAACATAACATAATAAAAAAATTATAAAAAATAAATTGAGAATTCCAGAGAAGATTAATGTTTCAGAGGGTCAGATGACACCATTTTAAAGGGTTTCACCCTTCAAAATGGAAATTAAAAATTTAAATCAAAAACCTATTTTTTTTTTTTTTGTCCTGTGGACAATGATACTGGAAGAAACGACAGCTCAAGAAAATGACGGACTCCCACTTGCGAAAGAAAAAATATGCTTGATGATGGGGAAGTCAATTACAAATACATTGAAATTGATCAAGGCAATGGGCTACTTCACATGATATTTCCCATGCACTGTCCCAAAACACGACAGTGATAGGGTGTTTGCCAAAATCAGAACGACGTTCTTCATGCCCTAATGAACTCTGCAATATATTGACAGTGTTAATGAGCTTCTCTCGTTAATCAGTAAAGGGGACTCCTCATGTATCATTTGAGGATTTTTCTTTTTTCTTTTCAGAATTTTTAATTTCTTTTCTCAGAAAACTTGATAGGTATACTTTTTGCCCAGCCCAATAAAATTACCGTAAAGAAGTAAGGAATTAAAATTTTCGCAAATAATACGAGTGCCAATTTCCATCACTTTCACGTTAAAAAGACATAAAGGGGAAAAAATGCCGGGATCTTAAGCCCATTACAATTGTTTGGTTCAATATTTCTTACAGTACCAAAAACGCTCTGGGGAATTTAGCCCACGTCTAGGCTCAGAGTGAAAAAGAAACTGTTCTAAAGTCAGGTGTGTTCTGTTTCATCAAAGCACAGAACTGGGTAGCTTCTAGTTCAAATCAGAAAATAAGGAAGTTGTGTCCTTGCCGTTAACCCATAAAATCCTAGCTACTACTAATGGTAACAAATGATTGACTTGCCATTTTTAAAGGACAGTGAGAATTTGCCATCTGTAAAGAGGAACTAAGAGGCACACGTGGAAATTCAGGAACGTACCAAGTGTTCGCAATAAAACAAACTGCATTCCCAGCGCGAAAGGTCTCTCCTCATCTTCTACCGACCTATGATGAAGGGAAAGAAAGAAATGTTTTAAAACACTGGCCTCAAGAAAATGAACATCAAATCAAGCCTGCTTAGCCCAGAGCCAGGGACCAAAGAGCTGCTGTACCAAAATATTTATTTACTAGAATTTATTAACAACAGCCAAACAAGACTGCTGATGTAGCTGAATCGGTGAATGAGTTCTCCCCAGTGAAGACTCCAAAGAAGCTCTGATTAACTCTGTTTCTGGGTAAATACTGGTGGAGGGCCAAAGGTTCATAGCTGAAGGTACAGAAGTAGCTCTGAGCTTCTAAAATCAGTTCTGTGAAAATAGATGTAATAATTTATCCTAACTACCGCATTCTTTTTTTTTTTTTTCTATCTGCTTACACTTTCCAGAGGGCAGGTGTGTCGACTGAAAGTTATTCCCATAGTTTCTCAAGGAAAAGTATAGAGGAAAGAAGTTAAAGAAAGAAGTAGAGGGGCGCTTGGGTGGCTCAGTCATTAAGCGTCTGTCTTCGGCTCAGGTCATGATCCCGGGGTCCTGGGATCGAGCCCCGCATCGGGTTCCCTGCTCGGCGGGAAGCCTGCTTCTCCTTCTCCCACTCCCCCTGCTTGTGTTCCCTCTCTCGCTGTGTCTCTCTGTCAAATAAATAAATAAAATCTTAAAAAAAAAAAAGAAAGAAAGAAGTAGAGTCCAAAAAAAGTATAAAAAACAAGTCAAACTTAGAAAAAGAGTGAATCCCTCCCCACTACCTCATGTTGTTCTTTTCCCAAAACATATGCTCCAAGTAATTCCTACACGGCAGGAAGATTGGAATCTATTGATTTGTAATTAGCAAAGATTAAAGGGCTCCTTTTCTGAAGTTTTGGGTTAGAAGCCAGCTGGTGGGGCGCCTGGGTGGCTCAGTCGGTTAAGCGACTGCCTTCGGCTCAGGTCATGATCCCAGGGTCCTGGGATCAAGTCCCACATCGGGCTCCCTGCTCTGCGGGGAGCCTGCTTCTCCCTCTCCCCCTCCCCCTGCTGGTGTTCCCTCTCTCGCTGTGTCTCTCTCTGTCAAATAAATAAATAAAATCTTTAAAAAAAAAAAGAAGAAGCCAGCTGGTGATTTGCCATGTTCGAGCTCAATGACAGGGGCAGCCCTGATCTGGGTTATTTAACATCTCTTGCAGAATTAAAGTTTAAAGAGTGAGATTATTAAGGATTCATTTTTTAAAATGATGAAGTACCTGTTCTTTTCTGTCCCATACACACTGAGTTCTAGGTATAGCATGTCGACCTCCCCAGGACCCGCGCACCTGCCATCTTTTTCCCCACCTTCGTTTTCTTTTCCTAGCAATTTGCCCCATGCTGCACACACCATTGTTACTCCATAAGTATCCGTTGATGGAGGAATTGAGTGAAATCAACCAATGGGCCTTCCCACCGGGTACTGTTATCGTACGTCTAATTCAGCATCCCGTAAAGAAGAGAAGCCAAAATGTGCAGAATAAGCAGCAAACAGCCCAACTGCCCTGCTAAGAATGACGTCCCAGCAGGTGTGACCAGCAGGTGCCCAGCAGTGTGGGGCACAGTGTGGGGTACCAAGGGGGCAGGGTGGAGGTAAAGGAAGAATGAGGACTGATTCCCTTTCCTCCCCACTCCTTCACTGCCTCCCCTGGTCCTCCTGAAGCTGCTGTGGGCAAGCTTTCTCTTCACCATGCCGTCCCCCCTTCCCTCCTTTGCCCATTGTAGCCTTTACTGCAAATGCAACACACTGATCTGATTGGACCCATGTCAACATTTTTAACAGGACTTCCATTAAAGTAACGTCCGTGTTCTCTTATAAGCAAAAAACCACTAACGGGATATATAACAAAACACAGCATGAACAACTGAAAAATGACATTTCCCAGTCTGTCCTTTCCTTGGTTCAACTCCAAAATTTTATAGGATAGTAACATTCATGAAATCCGCATTTTGAACTGCAGGCCCAGCGGGAACCATCACTGATCCTGGAGGTACTAACTACCTACAAGGTGGGAGATAATAGTCTTTGCTATACTTGAGACTTAGCAACTTCACCAAATGACTTCCTGCCCCACCTGGAGTCAGGCTCCTTGTGGCTAACATGATGACAGCTTTCAGCTCCTGATCTTGAACCTTGTAGGGCCCAGACTTCAGAAAGCAAAGGCACCCAAAAGAAGTTTCACTAAACTACAGGACTAGAACCCATCTGAATAAAGGAAGTTCTGGGGTATGAAACGTTGCAACCTTCCTTTCTCTTCCTGACATGGGAAAACACTTCTCTTAAATTCAACAAGCAAATGTCTGAGCGCTTCCCCGCATCGTCTGACTTTGCTTTCCCCTCCACGTTACCACATCAGTCCCAGCTTGGAATGTTGAGTTCGGTTCTCACCTGAGTGTTACTATGATGGCTGATGGTTGGGCACATGCTGTGATGAAGGTGACAATGAAGAGAAAAATTAAGAATGGGATAAGGGTATTGCAGGCCCGTTTGCACTTCCCGGACACAGCATAGCCGTTTTCGTTGAGATAGGTTTTGACAATAACCACACGGAGCTGACTGCGCTGTCCGACTGTAGGTGGAGTGATCACTTGCCGGCTTTGGACACACGTGCATTCTGTGTAGTTCCTTATCTAAGGGATAACAAAGATCGGTTGTGAGCCAAGCTAAAGCATAGGAAAATTAAGACAAAGTTAAAAGCCCTAAAATAGCTCTAGTATTTAAACATGCATAATATTTTGCTGAGTGAAATAAGTCAATCAGAGAAAGCCAATTATCATATGTCTTCACTCACATGTGGAATATGAGAAACAAAACAGAGGATTATAGGGGAAGGGAGGGAAAGCTTAATGGGAAGAAATCAGAGAGGGAGACAAACCATGAGAGACTCTTAAGTCTAGGAAACAAACTGAGGGTTGCTGGAGGGGTGGTGGGTGGGCGGATGGGGTAACTGGGTGATGGGCATTAAGGAGGGCACGTGATGTGATGAGCATCGGGTGTTATACGCAACTGATGAATCACTGAACTCTACATTGGAAACTAATGAAGTACTATGTGTTGGCTAGTTTAATTTAAATTTTAAAAAATATACATAATATTTAACTGAAAATACAGCCTCATTGCTAACAGTAAGGATCCAAAGTGTGCATCCAACAGTGTCTGCTTAGCCAAATCGTTTAAACCTAAACTTTTATAAGGAGCTTTCAACACTGTTCTAGAGCGTTCACATTCCATATGCTCATTTTGGTCACAACTATATGCTGTTATAATTCTTGGGCTCTCTGATTAGAGAAGCCCCTCAAAAACAGGAACTAAGCTTTCTGTTTATTTGTGCCTACCAGAGCACCTAGCATCAGCCTGCCTGGACACAGTGTAGGACCTAAAGTAAATATTTGTTAAATAAATGCAGAGAATCCACGATGCAGCCATGACAGCTCCAGGGCCAGGACCAGTGAACATATCATTGGCTGTTTCATTTGAAAAAAGCTAATTCAAGGAACTAAAAAGGTATTTCAAACAAAAGCAACCAATTAATCTTTCTGCCTGTTATGTTGTTTTTACTGAACAGACATCAGCTGAACTCACTGTCATTGTGAGCTCTCAGCCACTTAGAGAAGCAGTAGCAACAAATATAAGGATGGGGTGCCATTTGGCCTTCTGTCCTCCAGGGACTGCTGGCCTCTTTTTAGGAATGAGGGCTGTGCATTAGAGGACTTGGTTGGTCACTCCCGGGGAAGGACTTAGCCACTAAGAACAGATCTTGTTGTCTCTTCCAACTTGGTCACACACTGGTGTGGGTGGTGACCCCAATTATATAATGGGTAGCCAGCAACAGGATTTCTCAATTTATCAGTATAGCTTAAAACTCAGAAATCAAATGACAATCCCAAAACATACAGTCAACGGTCTAATCCCTTAACACCTACACAGTACAAGCCAATGCACCTTAACCTTTTTAATTAAAGCAGCCTCCTACAATCTGTTCTTATGCAAAGAATGAGACCAGGCTCAGTAAAGAACTGAGTAGAATATGAAAACCTCCCACAGTATTACAGCCTATTTATAATTCACAGGGAAGGGAATTCTCAAAATAGCCTATTCTTGAACTGACAGAAATATCTTTACTCTGAAAGTTGAAAGATAGAAAGAAAGAAAGAAAGACAGAGAGAGGGAGAGAGAGGGAGGGAGGGAGGAAGAAGGGAAGAAAGGAAGGAGGGAAGGAAGGAAAGGGTGAGCTTGAACTGATAGTCTATGAAAAATGGCCATTGCTCATCTTCACAGACTCTGATCAGGGAAGGTGCTCTCCTATTCTCTTCTATCGGCACCAAAATGTGGTCATCTTGACCTTCAAATACATCACAAGGGCCCTGGCAGAGCAAGAAATGGGAGGCCCAGCCCTCAACCCTATCACGTTTCACTGAGTTGGCACAGAATGTAAAGTGGGAGAGGGCTGATGTGGAACTAAATCACTGCACCCACATTCTGCAATCGTCCCTGGGGGGAAAAAACGATAGCATTGCATAATTCTCTTTCCTCTGGCTCTTTGTCAGGATGTATTTTGTAGGTTATTTGAAGTTTCTTGAAAAGAGGGACTGAAGCCACATGTTAGCATATGAATCCTAACATGTCCTTGTCACAGGATGTTGGATCAACAACAGTACCAGAACTTGTGAAATGTACTCACCCCAGTGCTAAGATTACCACTGTTAACACAGCCAGCCAGACAAGGGTTAAAGTATGTAATTCCATCTGATCCACAGACTGGCTCATACTCATGTATTTTACAACCACAATTAACATTGCAGCTTCCTGTCAGGTTCCTGTGGGGCATGGTAAGAGAAGGTCTAGAGAGAAAAAAGCAGGTCATGAGTAACATTTACTAAAATAAAACTCTAAAGTTCTCGATGTTAAGTAATTTGTCCAGTTTAGAGAAGCTAGTCCCATTAAATCAAAGCTATGGTACTGTAAAGTAACCACCTTGGATAATTTTCATGACTTTTAAACAAAGCATAAAAAAACATGTTTCAGGGGCGCCTGGGTGGCTCAGTCGGTTAAGCCTCTGCCTTCGGCTCAGGTCATGATCCCAGGGTCCTGGGATCGAGTCCCACATCGGGCTCCCTGCTCCACGGGAGGCCTGCTTCTCCCTCTCCCACTCCCCCTGCTTGTGTTCCCTCTCTCGCTGTGTCTCTCTCTGTCAAATAAATAAATAAAATCTTTAAAAAAAAAAAAAAAACATGTTTCAATCTTCCGGTACTATAAATTCAAGACTTCCGTATGAAATTATCTATCATGTCTTAAATCTACCTTCCATCTTGGTGCTACAGATCTGGGCTCAGCAGTTCTAACCACTACTCACTTATGATAGACATTAAGCTCTCCGTCTTAACAAATCCAGGCCTCGATTTCTTTAACTATAAAAGAGAGGAACTACCTTTCTGTGCCAGATCAATAACACCATTAGGAGGGCACAAACAAAATCCATCCATCACAGTTGTCAACACAGGTTCCTCTGACCAAAAACTTTAATTGTTCTGGAATAAATTATCAAAGAAAGATATGGGACTCTAGAAACTGAGTCAGAAGTGATTTTCAAAGAAGAGCAGAAGCAATTGATTTAATAAAGATTGGGTGGCAAGCTTGCTCCTTTTCCCTTTTTTGTTCATTTGGTTTCCCTGTGGCTGGTTTTCCTGAAGCCTCGGTGATTGCGGGAATGATTGCGGGGCATGTCATCCCATCTCTCATAGTTTCTTTTTCTTTAAAACCAGCAAGTGGTATGTTTACTTAAAGTAATATATAATAATCAAACAGACCATGGTTTAACATAAGTTATAATGTCCACCATGGGGCCATGACAGCTGGGTAAGGACACAGTTGCTCTCAAATGTCTCAGGACACAATTGCTCTCAAATGTCTCTCTCTGTCTCTGTCTCTCTGTCTCTGCCTCTGTCTCACTCTGTCTTGTGCACGTGTGCACGGGCACGTGCGTGCGCGCATGCACACACACACACACGCACACAAAGTATGTCAAATCACACCACTCAAAGACCTAAAGAATACTTGGACGTTCCCATCTGACATACTTCTGAAGGTCATTGTAAATCAAAGAGGAGCCCCCTAACCATCTTTCTGCCTCCCCTTAAGTGTCTCCCTATTAAGAAACATGACAAGTGGGTATCCATGCATCTTATGCTCAAGTCACATGGATTAAAAGAATATGATTCATGTAGCAGATACCTTTTTAGCAAAATATACTAATCAACTAGAAAAAATTGATATCTTTCTCATAATATCTTAATCACTATCAATTTATCTCAACCTTCAAGAAGACTTCAATTAGAATGTTTCTTTTTGATTCCACTTAAATTCTTGGCTTCATATTAAAATGCTTCCCTGGCTATATATAGTTGTTCAATTTCAGGTTTATAATTATTATTATTATCATCATAATCATTGTTATCATTTAAAACTAACATTTACGGAGCCCTATTTTTACTCCAGGAATTGTGCACTGAGATCTCTATATAAATTACCTCATTTATTCCTCATGAGAATTAAAATTATTATGACTGTGCTTTCATCTTTTAGATGAGAAAATTGAATATTGGAGAGGATAGATACTGTCAAAGTTCACAAAGCTAGTAAGAGCCAAAAATAAATTGAATCATATACATATATCTAGAAATGAACTGTAAGCCTATTAATAAAAGTAGCTAGGATAATCCAGAGACACACATACCTAACATCTCTTATAAACTGTTTGTCCTCTACTTTTTAGGAATTTCTTTTAAAATTAGTAATGTCTATAATAAATAAAAGATCCTGAATGGAACAGAAAGCTTTAAACAATGGGAGAAAACTCTGTAGGTTAAGCTGTCTGTGAGACACAGAAGAGGAGATGAATGGTTTCATTAAAGAATTTAGAAATGATGTGGCCAGAAATGCTAGGTGACCAGGAGAGCTGGTAGTAGAGTATATCTAAATACACCATGTGGCAGGAGCAGGAGTGTTGACAAAGAGGATGAAGTGCATTTTGGGAAAGTTGCAGCAAAGGTCTGAATTAACAGGCTATATTCAATTTCTGTAGTGTTAGCACTTTGGGTCAATAAAACCATATTGAGACAAGTAACTTCAGGGAAAAATCCAATCTCTGAGATTGTGGACTTGGTTGAAATTGGTGGATCACTCCATCCAACAGTCCCTGCCAAACACAGAAAACTGAGAAAATGCTTCCTCGTCACTTCACAGCTCAAGAAATCATCCCTGGAAAAGTTCTGGCCCAGTAATTCAAGTCAGATGTAATTTCAACCAGAAGATGATATAATAGATCTTAGTTTTAAGTTCAAAGAGATGACACTTGATAAATGAAAGATAATAAAGCTAGCATTATTAAATGATTAATCAAGACTCAGTACCATTGAACAATTCTGTACATGGACATCAGATTTAACCCCATTTTTAAAAATTACTTGAAGAAAAGGTAAAAAGGTAAAGGGCAAAGAACTCACATTATGTAATGTGTTTATATAAAATCGTATTTAAGCCACAGTGTTCCCAGTAAATCCTGACTCTTACAGCTATGAGATGGTTCTGACATGCCTGTGTGAAATACAGACACACAGGGGAAGCAAAACACACTTCATAATTACAACTGCAGGGAGGGGCGCCTGGGTGGCTCAGTTGGTTAAGCGTCCGACTCTTGATTTGGCTCAGGCCATGATCTAAGGGTTGTGAGATTGAGCCCCACATCAGATACTGTGCTGGGTGTGGAACCTGCTTGAGATTCTCTCTCTCCCTCTGCCCTTCAAGCTCCCCTCCCCTTCTTTAAAAAAAAAAAAAAGAGAGAGAGAAAATACAAAACAAAATAAACAAACAAAAAGCTGCAGGGTAATAGTGGGTGCTGGGAATATAATTACTTGAGTTGGGAATGAGCCAGGATATTAACCAGAGTGCCTAGGATCTTTCATTATGAAAAATCATCAGATTCTCAAATCTGAATTTTTTTCAATTTTATTGTATTGTGGTTAGAACACTTAACATGAGATCTACCCTCTTACCAAATTTTAAGTGTACAATACAGTGGTATACAGCAGATCCCTAGAGCTTATTCATCTTGGTTGACTGAAACTTGATGACCATTGATTAGTAACTCCCCATTTCCCACTTCCTCAAGCCACCATTCCACCTTAACTATTTTAGATACCTCATATAAATGAACCATTCTGTATCTGTCATTCTGTAACTGGCTTATTTAACCTAGCATCAGGGCTCATCCATTCATCCCATATTGCAAAATTTCTTTCTTTTTTAAGGCCGAATCGTATTCCATTGTATGTATACACTACATTCTCTTTATCCATTCATCTGTCGATGGATGCATAGGTTGTTTCCACATCTTGGCTGTAAGATCTGAATTTGCTAGGGGAACGACTAACAACATGTCAGGTTCATTCTGCAAAAAGACTGACTCCATTTTAGCTCAATAGGAAAAGTTCATCTTTCTAAAACATCTCAATCCTATCCCATATCAGGTATTCAGGTGCCTCTTGAGCACTTGAGACTAATTCAGTGATGGATCGCCATGAAGATTCACCCTGCTGGTGAACCTGGAGCTTCTCAGACAAGCTTTAATAAATGGAGATGACTTATTTACTGTGCTTGCTTCTTTGTGTTTTTTTTTCTTCTTTCAGAATATTTTAAAAATGAAAAACATTGCATTCAGAATCAGAGAAACCTGGGTTCAAATTCTAGTTCTACCATTTTCTGACTGTGTGACTCAGCAAGTTATTTAATATTTCTGAGTTTCTTTCTCTTATTTCAATTGAGAAAAAAAATACCATTTTAAATAGTTATTTATCAATTGCTTATTATGTATGGGTTTTATCCTATTTTATCCTTTCTATATTTCTGAGAGATTGGTACTGTTTCTAACCCATCTTAATGATGAGGGAATAGAGGCACAGCGGGTAAGGAATGCGCTGAGTACGTTGTTCGATTCTCACAGCAGTTCAACAAGATAGTATCTATCGGTATCTTCACCGTAAAGATGTGGAAACCAAGCACAAAAAGGTTAACGAATGTGCCCATACTCACACAGCTAGCACGTGGCAAGACCTTGGTGAAAATCCAGGGTGACCTGAGAGCCATTGGGTAAAAGCAGTGGGTGTTCAGAACACAGCACTATGCCTGTAACTTAGCTGCACCAAATATGAGGAAATGGGCACCACTGGCAGAAACAGAGGCAGTCTCTGTGGCCCTCTCGGTCAGGAGGTGGTGTGTGACTTAGGGCTGTGTCTATATGAAATACATAATGTAAAACGGCACCTGGGTTTTGTTTTCAGGAAGAACATAAACTCTGAAATAGATAATCTGGGTTTCCTTCAGTTCTACTCCTTATTAACTGATGACGTTGGGCCAATCACTTCATCTCTAAGCCCAGTTTCTTTAATTAAAACGTGTGGGCAATAATACACGCAGTAATGTTGTAAGCATTATATATAAAAGATATACATAAACCAGTGCCCACTACCATACCTGAGCCAAACAGATGCCTCACGAAGACTCCCTTCTTTACCGCCACTCCCTTTATCTCTCTCTCTATTGGCTTTAAAGAAGGAAAAAAAAAATCCCATATGCAAGCCTCAAAATCATACAGAACGAAAACAGTTTTTCCTTAACAGGCCAACTCATACTGATGAGCAGGTTGTACAGTGCACAAGAGCACCCAGCCAAAAGAGCAAGGAGAGGCTGAAATGTAGCCCACACCTTGCTGGGAGAAAGGGTCCCCTTATTCTTCACACAAATAGAACCACCACTCTAAAAGTGCCAAGCCTGTGCATCTACACCT